CCTTTAATAATATACAATTTTTAAATGAAGTACACCAATCTGATACTACCCCTATGCCTCATGATAAAGTAGGTAATTGGATTTACAAGTATAGGGGTATTATTAAAGATGTTGCAACTAGGTATTGTCGTAGTTTTGCGTTGACTGATAAATCTTTTGCACAAATGGCTAAGAATATTCAAAAAATTTATGATGATCCTAAGGAGCCTCTCTCTTAGTCGAATTGCTTTAATTCAGATAAGGGAATGAAATATATGGGAGATTGTAAGAGTTTATTGCTTAAACATGATGTAAAAATACAATATGCCAAAAGCAAGGAAGGTAATGCTATAGCTGAACGTGATCATAAAGAATTTGAAAAGCATTCTGGTATTCAACAAGATGCTATGGATTTTCTGTTACCTTTATCAAATCGTTCTAGAGATTGGGTTAGAAGTCTTCATATTAATGATGATATATTTAATAATTCTTCTACTCGTTTAATAGGTATGTCTCCTAATGAAGCAGTAAAAAGAGCACTTAATGGGAGAAAATAATTGCTAAGCCAGCAATAAAACATAGAAGACCTATTGGATATAACGAACCTTGTTTATCCTATTATGACTTAGTGAGATATCTTCTTAAACCTGAAGAGTTAGAACATGGTCCTGCTAGAAGACATGCTACTGATATGAATTGGTCTCCTCTGGTTTATCGTATTCGTGAATCTTTAGTACAAAAAAATCAACCGGTCTTATACTGGCTAATAGATGATGAGGGCAATGGTCTGAAAAGATCCTTTGTAATGAAGGAGCTTCAAATCGTTCCTTCTGATGTTGAGTATCCACCCCAGTGGATTTTATCAAATTGATAATAAGAAGTCTTTTACTTCTTCATCAGTTTGTGCTTTAGTATTGAAATATTCCTTGGCTAATCTATAGTAAAGTTTATATAGCTCTATAATTGTATTAAAAATTTCCAGATCTTTGCCATACCAATCTTTATATTCACTCATAATTTTATTATATTTGTCTTCATTAGGGAATATTGTTTGAGCTAATTTTAGTACATATTCTTCAGGGTCTTCTGCCTGACGCAATTTTCTGATTCGCTTTTTATAGCTTTGCATAAATTTATCTTCTTTTGGCCTTCTATAATATAACCCTGCTTTAACGACATTTATTAGCGCCTGCTCGACTTCTTGAGATGTGGGCTTTGTTGGAATGTTTTGGTTAACTTGTGTATCTACTGCTTTTGTTATTTGAATTTGTGTACTCATTGTGAAAGTGTTTGTTCTCCGGTGTTTGTATTAATATAACGAGATCTTTTATTTAAAATAAAATATTTATTTCTTATTTATCATGTTAGGCGAATATTCTTGCAACTATTTACTCAGAACTGGAATTGTCTGTGGGCGGACCCCTTTTTTTCTGGGAAAAAGTAACGAGATTGATTTTGAGTAATTTAAGAGGACCTCTAAAGAATCTCACAAAATAGTTCAGGTTATAGGAATAATGGGGGTTCGTTCTTTTACCAAATGAGGCATAGTATCGACACTCATTTGCCTTAAAGTCTGCAATAAAATTTTGCAGATGTGTCTCGAAGACTGTTCTCGAAACAGGGTAGGTAGTATAGATACCAGCTGTAAAGCCCAGTCTGCGAAGAATTTCATCAAGAGTTATAATATGGAGTAGGGTCGAAGTGCACGAAGCCTTTTCACGAGAATCACGCTTGATTGCTTCCTTGTGCCTTTCATATAATTCTTCTTGGGGCAGAAGGGAAAGAGAGAGACCGCTAAAAGCTTTTTTCATTTCAGGTTTGGCATAATCCGCAACAAAAATCTCAGAAATTTTCTCAGGTTCTATATGGTAGAAGGAAGCGAGATTAAACTTCTGTAAGGCTAGACGAGAAGTTTCGTCAACTGGAATTTCATTGTCAAGAGCCTCCATAATTTCTGCAGCTTTGAGCGTGTCTATATTTGGGGCATCGGCTAAGGCTTTGCATTTCGCAAGATCTAAATCCTTTTTATTTGCTCGAATGGCTTTGGATAATTCAGCTCCAACTTTAGCGGTCTGTTCTGGGTAAATGGCTGGAAGGACTTCCCCATTCAGGATCTCATATTCACATTCGCGAAAGCAGTTTGCGAGAGTTCCTACAAAATCATTCTTGGAGAGATTGGTCTTTGAGACATTATAGAGCTGAGTCTCGAGTAATGGATTTGGGGTAAAGATCTATTTCCCATCAGCCGTGAGAGTCCTGTCACAATGAGCCTCTTCCAGTTCAGGGAATTTGCCGGTATTACATCTATTAGATATGAAAGTGATTAGGTCTTCCCTATTCACGGACAGATAATTCTGGCGAAGATCGGTTAATATGTGGACTCAGTTCTCTTTTAAGATTCTTACTCGATGAAGCATCTGATACGCACTATGAGATGAAATTCTAGCATTCGTACAAAAATGTGCAAAAGTAACATCGAAATTACTGATCGTAATACTTACTTCGCATGTCATAACGGGAGTAGCGATTAAATAGTCCAGACCATCTACGGCATTATTCACATTACCAAAAATATCTTTTTTCTTCTCTTCAGAAAGGAGTCTGGAGAAACATTTCCCCCTATAACCAAGCTTAGAAAGTTCTCTATGTAAAGACTCAGCCGTTTCAGGGCTAGAAAACATAGGAATATAAGCTTTAAGACCTTGGCTAAGGGTCCCCAAGAGTTCCGCATTCCATGTAGAGACGGTATTATAGAAGCGAGCATTACGTTTATCTCGCAAGTAGCGATTCCA